CACACACACACACACACACACACACACACACACACACACACACACACACACACACACACACACACACACACACACACACACACACACACACACACACAGAGTGACGAGGCAACTAGGAAGACTGCTGGAGAATACTTAACAGTATGGGAACATTGACATTCTAGGAATAAAGCGGCGGTTTAGACCACTGGGCAGAATGAATGGACTACTAATGGCTACTGGCCGGGGGGATAGTAGCGCCGTTTGCCACTGTGAGCACCTGTGTTGAGGAGAATTGTGTTTATAGCATAACAAGTAAGGGGAGGGGGAGCTTAAATCACACAAACAATTGTCCAATCACACCCGCTCCACCACACACTCGCGCGCACATACACACAATGCCTGCCTGCCGTCCGAAAGCATATTTCATCATTAGCTCTAAGCAGTTAATCCTCTGCTCCACTGACCGTGGCTCAGCTCAGTCCATTTCAATAATCTGCATCAGGGCCTAACCAACCCATCACACGCACACTCGGCGAGACAAACGTGCGGGCACACACTCGCGCTGGAAACGAGGACACAATCAACCCACAAAGCATAAGGGACCGGTCCAGAGCAATAAATATCTCACGTGTAAGCTCTGACAGCCACACACGCGTACATCCATCCACCCACAATCTATTGTTCCACTGTCAAAGCCAGCGAGCAGAACCGCCCAGCTCATTTAGTACACCGGGAACGCCACAGTAACGCCATGCTGATTGTGATTGTAAGAAGTTCATAATATTTGGACATACCTTTCAACGAAAATCAAAAACGATTGTTATTGGATTGGACTCCGCGGTTTAGAGTGTTGTCAAAAGTGGGAAGTTGACCTTTCTCAAGCATTGACCATTCAGCGTAGGAATTGACCCGTTTTCGAGCTCATTCTATTTCCCCTGACAACCTTAAATGACAGATCTCTCCCTGCGCCTCCCCACTGCTCCTCCAAGCTTTACTCTTCTCCTTCACGACGCTATAGCTCTGCAAACTACAATTGATTCACCTCTCGCTCTCCATCTGTCAGGTCAATTTAGCCCATTCTTTCATTTTCTTGCAAATCTTCTATTCTTCTTCTCTATTCTCCAGCTGAGCGAAACAGATTGAAATGTAGTGGCTATGATGAACAAATTGTCGGAACACGATGCTCTTTGCCGATGGCCAAATAGTGACCTGTGAAGAAAATATTTTCCTTTATTGTCGTCCCTCCTAGAAGCCCACAAGCATGAGCCTGCTTCTGCAGGGACCACCTGTGTAAGCGAACGCAGCACAGAAGCACACGCTTCCCCGATGCTCCTTCGACCTCACTACCGTTGCGTGCCGTGCCTTTGTCTATGTCGAGTTCAAGGTCAGCTGCTCATCGTATCGAGCGCCAAAGCTCCCCCATCGGGACGGAGAGAGGCGAGCTGCATTAGCACCTCGGCAGGTGGCCCTCAATCTAATCTCTTCCCTCTCTTTCTTCTGCCCCTCTACCCTCGACACCTCGCCCCCATCCCATAGTCCACGGAGGTACCCGGCCAGAGGTTCCACACGTAGGCGTCAGCGCGTGCGTGTATGCGTAATGATGCACGCACGTGTGCTTCTCTCAACACATTGCAGTTGTGTGCGGGTATCATGCATGTGTGTCCGTGCAGATGTGTACCGCTCATGCTAATGTGTAACCTGACCAGATGACCATGAACTAAACAGAAGCCCGCAGGGGGAGAGGGGGGGGGGGGTTAAGGCTTTCCTCTTGACCTGCTGCTGTGCACTGATCTGGAGTAAAAAGGGTTTAAACCTTCACTCCCACCAGTCTTTTATCTTCACCCACATCTCCATCTCCTCCTTAAGCCACAGACCAACGCACACTTAAGCGGACCGACGGACAGGCGGACTGGCTGAAGCCATATGGTCCATTCGCTTGCACTGGCAGGAGGTAGCCATCAAAGAGCTCTCGCAGCATCTCCAGTCAGCCATGGACAGAGAGACGGCGGGAGGGGAGTGGGCAGGAGGAGAGCAGGCGCAGAAATTATGAGGAGAAGGCAAACAGAGGTGAAGAAATGGGACGGGAAGCAAACGGCCAAGAGGAGGAAAAGGTGAGGAGTAAAGACGAAAGAGCCATTCTATATATTCAAGAGTTACCCGACAGACGGAAACCCAAAAGTGCAAAGGAAAGGCGTAGAGGTGTACGGATCAAATGGGCCCGGTGTGATGTGAGGGTCTTGAGACATTGTGTGAGACGGTGAAGGCCGAGTGTGGCTGCAGCTCTGCATGTACAGAATCCTGCCGCCACGACAGCAGTGTCCATTTTGTGCTGACGGGAGAATGAAACTCAGTTTGGATTGTGTCAATACCGACTTCACCCAACACAGCCCCTCAGCATCAGAGGCATCGAAGCCAAAGGCTATGCTTGTGAGTGTGTGTTTTTTTACTACCATCTTTGGAGACCATGAAAATGAAAGGGAATCTTTGGCTGGTCCTTACTAGGTCAATTTGTCTTCCATATTTTCTGTCCTTGATGCGCTCAGACTTCCACAAAATCAACATTAGGCTCATCTTCATGAACATCAACACCACTATTGTCTAGTCTGCAGGAGAACAATCTCCCTTTTTTATGGGAATACACAACATTTAAATATTTAACGTCAATGGAGTCCGACCACCAAAGACCGCCTCTGTTGCTACCTCAAATATTGTTCTACATCGCGTACCGATCGCCAGTTTAGGGTGAACTTGAGGTTACGGTTGCGGTTGCGTTTAAGTACACAGTCCTGATAATAAAGGTCGGTTTTAGAGGCTGGGGAATGCATTATGTGAACATTTAACTTTTTAATTAGCAGTATAGATGTACAACCATGTCCGTAGTCTGGTCTCCAGCACAATTTTACCCTCACCCCGATTACATACAACAATTTCACAAGCAAATTGAAGCTAATTCACTCTGCTTCCCTGCTAACTCAACTTCATGAAGTCATAAACGCGAGTCTGTAAACGACAACAACTTAGCTCACCAAAATACCGTTGCATTAAAGTCCATCCACTCCGTTTCACCGTAATGCTAATATTTATTGAGGGTGACGTGTTTGTCAGAGCATCATAAATAACAGCGGAAATAACAAGAGGATAGTGTGCGAGAGAGAAGAAGTGAGAGAAAGGAGGAGGAAGAGGGGGTTGAGGGATGGAACAAGCAAGCTGGGGGAGTGTATATAAATCAACATCCATTAGCGGAGGGGTTATAAAGTCACTGATGAAGGAGGAGGACTGAAGCTCAAACCTTTTATTGTCTTGTTGTTGTCTTTTATTGCCTGTGATGTCATCTAATGGTATACAGTTAACGGCAGGGGAGGGGAGGTATGTACATGGGAGGGGAGGATGGGGTTGTAATGGGGCTGTGTGTGCATTGTGTGTCCGTCTGTATTGACAAAGGATATTGATCGTCTTTTGTAAAAGATGCTGAGAGTCGGGGCTTTTTTTTTTTCTTCCCGCGCCCATATACCATTTGTGCACACTATAATCTTCATTCACGGCGAGGTTGAAAAAGAACAAAGCCAAAATCCTGCGGACACGATTCTCTCGGGTGCCAACGCATGGCTTTGAGAGGGACGTCAGGAGGGAGGGACCCCGGGAAAGACGAAGAAACGAAGAATGTTTCTGCAACCGTGACGCACAAAAACATTTCTGTTCGACCGCTCCGCCTCGGTGTGGAACCAAATAAGAGGACGCAGACATTTGTGTTTCTGCCGTCGACGAAAACACAAATAATCTGAAGACGAGCGCGCCCGTGAATCTGTAGAAAAACACCTGCAAACAAACATCCTCCCCTCAGTCTTTCATCTTTATCGGCCCAACCTTCCCAATGCAAAACAATAGTCCTTCCCTTAAGACATGCATCATTTCAGGAATAAAGTTCATCCTCTCAGCCACTATTCCCCCGCCCTCCTCTCTTTGCTGCTCCCTGTTCAGCGCTGGTTTTCCCAGGCCTGCGAGCCTCACTGCCCCGGAATCAGTCTCAGTCACGGCCCTGCGATGACACGCGTGTGCCAGTGCGAGGAAGAGGGAGGAAAAGCACAGGAACTACCACCCTGCTATCACACGTTGCAGCAGTGCATCATCCCATTAGCCCAGAAAAGGGGGCAATAGGGGAGTCTAGGGTGGGGGGGCAACACGCCGAAACCCGGCTTATCCGGTCCTGTTTAACTCAAAGGAGACTAATCTTGTTGAACCATAACCGTCCCTTTAAATGTCAAAGATGTTCAAATGCGATAGCGACACGCCCAACAACATTTACGCAGGTGTCATACAATTTCTAAAAAAGTTTATAATTAAAATAATATTTGTTTGTGTGTACTGCAGTAATCCATTTATTTATAAAATGATACATCCATTCTATTATATTATATTTTCAATTGGCCTCGAGAAACAGATAAACTTTTTCCAATCAGGTCTGCAGCATGCTGATGTGTGCTGTCTAGCAAGTTCTGCAACATGCTGATGTGAGCTACAATCTGCCCGCAGGGCTCTGGATCCTATTCAAGTCCAAAGTGAAGGAAAAGTACAGCCAACACTCCTGATACTGTGCGTACCCTTGTGTATGTGTGATATATGGCGCGGTGGATGAGGTTGACGTTGAGAGATACCAGATAGGCCTTGCTCTAGGAATAAAGACCCCTCATGGGGCTTTCCTGACCACCCCCCCCCCCACGCCCTGGAGCCTCCCCTCAAAACGCACACACACAGGCCCATTTAAATTCTCTCCAGCACACACTGCTTCGGTTTACTCTCATGAACACACACACACACACTCTTCTCCCTTGCAAATGCAGCCAACTCAGCGGATTTGCCTGAAAGTCGATCCGCCTTACTACTACTATCCTTCCTCCAGTCCAGAACTCCCCAATTCCCAGCCCTTACTCCACATTCTACCAGAGGAAAAACAAATCTCTGCCTCGATCATTCCAGCCACCTTTTTGCCACCCATTCGTCCTGCGCTTTCTGGTCCTTACCTTCTTGACTCGTCCGCTTTTCGTGCCCACGAAGACCAGCGAGTGATTCTTGTAGACGTAGGCGATGACGGAGGACATTTTGTCGACAGCGTCGGAGAAGAGGGGCTTGCCGCGCACCATCTCGGACACGCCCAGCGGCGCGTTCATGTCGAGGCCACAAAAGTCATCGTCGATGGTCAGGAGCTACGGTGGAGAAGAGCAGAAGAATACATCACAATTTGGATTTCCCCTCGTTAATACAAAAAAATAAAAAATAAATACAAATATCTTTGCCCAAAGTTTTAATATATGGGCCACGGCTTAGGCCAACACTTTCGGGAAATGGTTTGGCTTAAATCCAGTTGTGGTATTGAACACGGTTTCACAGATATAAACCATTACCTGGTCTGATAAAGAGTGAATCCTTGGGGAAGGTCAAAAAAGCAGCAGCGGTTTGTACGGGAAGGTTTGTGCGAGCATTTGTATGCCTGTGTACCTCTGCCAGACCGAATGTATGAAACGGGAAACGTCGAAAAAAAGTAAGAGAGAGAGAGATGAAGACTGAAGAAGACTGCAGTCAGGCTGCAGCTCAGTAATGGTGCCAGAGGGTTCTCCGTCAGGCACAATTCCCCGCTGCTCGCCAAATGATACAGCTACTACAGGAACCCTAGAGCGTCAAGATACTCGATGTGAAAAGATTCAAAGTGAGCCGGGGGAAAACGAAAAAGAAAGCTGCATCATCATACAGAGGCAAATCACTGCAATTCATCTAAATATGTAAAAAAAAAAAAAAAACATTGCATCAGAATGGGGAGAAATAGAACTCTCCGTGGAGGTTCATCTGTTATGCTTACTGTGTAGATATGCTGCTGTGATTTTCTTATTTCTTATTAAATTCACGGCCGTCACTGTGGGCAGAGTGACTTATGGGTTTTGATAAGAGAATAATGGTGTTGGGGATTGGTCATTATTCTATGCGAATGGATGGATTTGAAACACTGGTTTCAGGGCCGAAGCATACATCCTTTTTGATTAATGGCTTAGCAATGTGGTGGGCAGCTTTTGGGAGAGAGGCCTTGGCAGTTGACTGACAAAATGTTTATTCAATATGTACCTTAAAAAACAACAACTGTTGTACGGGGAGCTAGAGAGTTCTTAAACAAAAGTATTCTTGTAATGACTTGATGAAATGCAATGTCTTGTAGATTGATTTGAGAGTACAAATGAAGCCTTTGTAATTAGGACGACTACTGGTCTGATATGAATGACTAGACATATGGTAATAGGTTATTATAAACCAAACAAGTTTGGCTGAAATTAAATGACTGTTTAACGCAAAACATTTCAAGCGAAACCAATCCAGAGAAGTGGTGGAGTCTAACTTTTAGTTTATGGCAATTTACCTGGTCTTAACATAAGAATATTCCACGTGGATAATACCCACTCGGCAGATATTGGCCTTCATTTGGCTTAAACCTATCGAACCATTTCAAACTACAGTTGCCTGGTGGTTTGAGGTGTCAGAGGTGGTGTGCTCTGGGGAAGGGGGGGGGGGGGCGGAGGGTCTTTTAGTTTATGTCTTATTTTTGCTCCAGCAAGTGCACCCCCGGGACTTTCAATCAATCTGGCGAGCACGTGTCTCGAGTGTCACCTCGCAACCTTTCACTAAAGGCCATCATCATCACCATCATCATCATCATCAGAAGCCTCAGACTGCACCGGGGAGGAGATGCGAGGCCTACTTTCATTAGACAAATGGGACAAGGCTGGTCGACACCACAATGCCCTTCAGGCTACGGCACGGGGGGGTGGGTGGGGGGGGGTTACGTGAGACGGCACGCGCAATCGATTCAGACGACCGGAAATTTGGTCAAGACCGTGTTACGTGCTTGGAGCCGGGCCGAGGACGGGTGCAGAGAAGAAGAGGTTATAAATACCAGCGCTGAAATGCCAAAGTGAGTCAACAAGGAACAATATTTGTGCACGAGAAGTCAAGCTCCACCACCCTCCCTCCCCCCTTCAACCTTTTGAGAATGAGCAGTTCTCCTTCATGAGAACAAAGGTCGCTGTCTGAAAATCAACGTCCCTGCTAGTCTCCCCCCCCCCCCACACACACTTCATAATCAACACAAAGCCTCGTGTGACCTACAACAAGCAAACACTGTCCTCCACTAGTGTCCATCTACTCACTGAACATTAGATGATTTTTGGTCCCACTGGTTACCCCCCACAGCCCCGGTTCAAAGGATTAACTTGGGGCCTCTGAAGCAAAAGGGAGTTTTTTGTTGTTTTAGGAGCCTTGAAGATAAAAAGCACCCCCAAAAAAGGACGAAAAGCGCGCACATTTAAAAAAGAGTAAAAATGGTCTTTCTCTCTCAAAAAAAAAAAAAAAATATATATATATATATATATATATATATATATATATATATATATATATATATATATATATATAGAGAGAGAGAGAGAGAGAGAGATTACTTCCCACCATCTACGTTTTTGTTAACACACATGTGTCGGTGGGATGTATGATCAAGTGTGTTTTCATCCCTCGTCACCGACATGCTGTATTATTTTTTTACTGGTTGCCAATCACAGCCACCATCTCTGTCCAGCATTCTGCAATCTAATGAAATATACTTTGTCTGTCAGCCCTTTCATGAAGCAGACACATTTTCATTACACCACCAGCAAAACCCCACGTTTGTAGTTGTGATGGCAAAGACGTCTCTAGTCAGAACACCAAATATTATAAATGTGCCCCATGACATTGTCTGCAAATATGACATTGCTGCAATGCCTTCTATCACATTTTATGCCCCCTTTTCTTTCGCTCAACCCATCTCATTAAAGCATTTTCAAAACAGAGGATTTCCATTTTTTGATGCTCATTGCCACTCAAACATTGGCAGACACCGACGATCCGTGATTTTTGTCTTTTTTGTCTCAGTTTTCAAGGACCTCACTCGAGCTGATTGTGTTCACAGATCGGATTTCAGTAACTTATGCACAGACGGATATTACAAATTGTTGTAGGACTCAACAAAATGCTCAATGCTATCAGCAAGAACAAAATTTACAAGTGGTGCCAACAACTCTCAGGTGCTGCTCTTCAATAAGATTATTTGGGTGTTCATGTATGCTAACAAAAAGCCCAGCAGTCCTTTGATATACGACTTAAATTACTACCGGCACGGCTGTCACCTCTGACTATGAATACAGATGGCTGGATTAATAACATCGACCAACAACTGGAGCGGTTTCAAGCGACTACGCCAGATTCTCGCTCAGGTGTGGAAGGTATTTCACCCGGTGTCACCGCAGCGTACAGCAACAGAGGACAGCAACGTGAGGGGAGGGGAGGGGAGGGGGGAGAGGGGGACGTCTCCCGACCGACACAGGGACAGGAGAGCCGAGTCGCGGTACTTGGACTGAGGCCAGGCACCGAGGCGGAATCAGGTCACTCTCACCCGTATCCATCTCTCCGCTGCTGTTGGCCTGCCAGCAGGCGCACAAAGGGAGCTCTCTTCTGGGCCGCGCGGAGGGATCAGCAGATACAGGGCGGAGGGAAAGAGCGAGGGCAGCGGGACGCGCGCAAAACAGAGGGAGGGGGAAGAGTTTCTCAACGCGATTAGTGGGGACTGAAAGAGCCGCTATCTGATGTACGGCCTAACCTGGATGCTGGCGCGCTGTTTGCGAGGGTCCGGTCCAGTAGCGGCAAGTTAATGACACACATTATGCCCCCGGGGACGTTCCGCTTCACGCCGCTGCTCAATCGTTGGCGGCTGCGCGGGGTCAATTTTCTTGCACCAAGCTATTCCTCTTTAATGGTTTTTTGTATTCCATTGGGCAGTTTCTCCCCAAATCCATCGGAATTCTGCACCTTGTTTTGGTGGATTGTTTTACTGGAGGGTTTTGAACTGCAGACTTTCCTCACAAAGAAACACTGGAGTACATTGAAAAAAAATTATATAGTGGTTCCATCTGTATAATTAGCAAGTTCGACATTCATTTTACAGCTTTTCCTTTAGCCTACTGTGCAAAATGACTGATCTGTCAAGATGATTGGCAGCACTAGAAAAGTATGCCACAACTAATTGGTTTTCAGTGTTCTTTTAAAAAGATATTATGTCAACATTGATATTAACATTAAAAACACTGGCCGCATGACTCCTGCCAGTTAGTCATCTTGAATTGATCTTTTTATGATTGTAAGGCGCATGTAGCAGGTTAGTTCTACCCCTTTAAAATTATTTGCTGTACATTGACATTTTATGTTGTTTATACCATTTGAAAGAATTTCAATCCGTGCACTACGAGTTTGTCTCTCGGGATACAAAGAGCTATGAATATTTAGCAAATTCTACACAAGCCACGGTCCCACAGGTGCCCAGTTTCCATAACTCCTCCTCCGATATCATCTGAGGTGGAAACCTTAAACTCAATCGAGCCGACTCACGGCTCTTCTGCTCCAGCGCCTTTTGTCATTTTGCGGAGACCTCTGCAGGGCATTCGACGAGAGGGAGCCTGTTAGGCATCACTTAACGAATAAACGGCCAGAAGTCAGATTGAACGAGCCCTGTCACCGAGGAGATGCAACTTCCCCCTTTCAAAGTGCCTTGGGAACGCTTTCAAAAAACATTCACAATAATTAGAAATTAATTTTTATATATGGCGCACAAACATACCCACACAGGGCTGGTTCACTGCCCAAAACAACATCTCCGGGAATACGCGCCATCAATCTTGGCACGTCAATGCAGGCGCAGAACGAAAATGGGGAACAACGTTTTGATTTAGCGTGCATTCATAAACAATTCTTGAAAATGGATCAAGCATGTGGATATTGACGCGTGCATGAACAAGGACTGTACATGTACTCCTCAAGACGTGCGTGACTCAATTTATTTGGCAGGTTTCAATGTGAGATGTCAGGCTTTAATGACCCTGTAATATGTTGTCAATTCATGTTTGCAGGTGCTCGCACCTGCCAACCATTAGCTGAGGAGTTGATGAATATTGGTTAAACTGGGAAACCAAGAAAAAAAAAACAAGGGAACACGCAAACTGATGGAATACATCAAATTAGGAGCTGAAAATAGAACTCAATATCATCAAGTGAGAGATGAATCGGATTACTCCCTAACCTACGTTTTCTGTGTCACGGTGCGATGACAGAAAATCTTACATTAGTTATTTATTTTGGAATCCTTAAAAAGGGTATTAATGTATTATTTTGCATTATTATCTCAATCTAACACAGCTTTCATATTTCCTTTTTTTAATGCCGTGCGAGAGGCAAGCTGAAGGTCGTGTGGCAGGATGTGATTAGTGAGGCTGTTAAGTTGGACATTTAAATGTGGTACACTTAAGTTGATGAAAAACACATGGAGATATTTTAGCATAATGTTATACAGTTAAACAATTTGTTAATTCAAGACCTTTTGAAATAAAATGCATGACTACGATAAACAATGTAGGATTAATTGTATGAATTCGATGCGTTGATTCAGGTTCTCATATTTTATAATGTCATCACCCTAAAATAAGGTTTTAGCACTGTTGATCTAATCAGGTATGGACGGAGATATTTGGTACAGCCCAAATGGCATTTGATACGGTCAATCAGGGTTTTCAGGTGGGGGGGGAGGGCAAGGAGAGCATGGTGTCGGAAACGAGATACATTTGTTTAATCACAAAATAACGATACTGTGATGGATTCTGACCTTTAGCAAGTGGTATCATGTATGGAGATTTAATTAGCGAGCAAGCGGGATAGCGGATATGTGGATGGAGTGGGGTGAAGTGTGTGTGTAGGGGAGGGGGGGGGGCAGTCTGGATATTCTTAATGAATCTTCTAGGCTTCCTGAGGATGTGGCCCAGACTGACTCATCAGCGGCGGCAGCCAGCCACTGATTAAGCACCGCAATCAGGAGGAGGAGGGATGGAGACGGCCGGGGCAGGAGACAACGCCATTGAAAAAAAGGGTTGGTCAAACACAGATAAAAATAGAAGACTGAAAAGAGCCAATAACATGAAGAAAGATCAATGGTGGGAAGACACAGAATGCCCCAATGAAAAAAAGTTCTTTTCAAGTGAAGGATGAAACGAGCTGCGGATGAGGGTGCGTTGGGACCGCGAGAGAGATCAAGAAAAAGACTCCGCGGCGGCCGAGTAGAATAATCTAATTAATTGGAGAGAATTCAGAATGGGAAGTCGATAGCACATGACAAATGTGGAAGAATGGCCCGTGGCATGTTAGTTAATGACATGTAATTAATGATCATTAGCAGAAGGGATGAGGGGACGGCCGTGGCCTGTCAGGGACTTACAGGCAACCTTGTAATTCTCCCGTCCATGTTCGGTGGGGTTCGGTGGGGTAAAGAGACAAAACGTCTCCCAGTGCTTACTGAAGGCATTAGGAGGAGGAATAAAAGACGAGCGGAGGACTCAAGGCAAAGTATAACGCAGTGAGAAGGAGTGATGGTTTACGGGAGGAGAAGGACGGGCAAAAGGGGGAAAGAGCGGAACAGGCAGTGAGCAATGAACCGGGGATGAGAGGGAAGAGAGCAGAGAGGGAATTTATTGCGATCCCGCTGTTTTGTTGTTCTGTTTTTTTTCTGCTGACACGGTGAACGGGCAGCGATTTTTTCTCTTCTTTTTTTTTTTATTAGGTCAGATGCCACTTCACAATGATCTATGGATGCAGGCCCTTTGCAGCCTTATACTGTTGAGCATGCATTATGTGGCTCAGCCAGGCGTGACCATTTGGGGGACGAAAGAAAGCACCCCACCCCCTCTCTTAAGTCCCCTTTACTGCTCTCTCTCACCCATCATATCACTTTGTACATACTTATCCTTCACAACTTCTGCCTCTTTCCACCTCACCCACTCGGACTAAAAGCCTCTTAAAGACGGTGTAAAGCAACAAAGGCCTAACGGGAGTCAGTGTTAATACGGTCCTACTCAGGCCTACGTCCTGGAACATAGCCCATAACCATGGGATTTACACAGGAAACAACCATCATTGAAACACACGGGAGATGAGAGTTATGTGTCCACACAACTCTTCATCTCAACATGTCATTGTGAAAACACTCATAGGAAATATATAGGCTATATATAATACTAAATTACTAATGCTCAAGCAATAGCCCCCTGATTCATATTGCTTCATGTATTTAAATGAGACTCATTTATGGCCGTATCATCAATTCTACTCTAAAACACCTAGAATTATTACATCTACATTTAAATGAATTACTTCAGATAACAATTTCTTTTTTGCCATAATCGCACTTTATCAAAAGGCTCTGCCTTCCAGCGCCGCCTTGTCCATCGCTGTAGTAGCCATACTTACAAGTGCGATGGCACGTGTGTCAGTGCGCGCGCGTGTGTGTCACAACTCATCCATCTCCCGCTGAGTCCTCCGTCACTCGTTCGGCGGGATCTAATTTATGCAGCGGCGATGGCGATACGGCGGCGCATGCTGAAATGGCATCATTCCTCAGCGCTAACCCCCGTGTGCTCCCTCACACTTCCTCCCGCCGCTGACAGCTCCACGCCGGGCGTGATTTATCAGGCCCTCAAGCAGCAGACAACGGCGCCGCGGCACGTGAGCCACGCGAGGGACGGATTAATAGATAAACACTGTGATTCCCGTGCCGGACACGAGAGAGGGTCAACTTCCAAATGGCTTGAGATAGCGGGTGGCTAAGGTCACGACCACGTGGACCGAGGTGCAGTGACAGCATCAGATTTAGAGTTACTGAAAAATGGCTGCCTAGCGGTCGCATTCTCATTAAAAGAATTGATGGCTATATATTTTCTTTTGGGGCTTTTGTACGATACAAAACATATGGGGGTTGAATGCACAAAGTTTGGCCTTTATTCCCAGCCAAGACAGAAATATTGTACACATGTATTTCCATGAATTATCTTGCGATACCAAGCTGGTGAAACTACTCAATGATACACATCAATCATCAACATCAATTGATCTACACATTGAAAAAATGGTAAATCGTGTTTGTTTTATCTACAACCTTGTGAACTCAAAATTAGCAAGTGAGCAAATGGCTCATGCAGGTGAACGTGTTTACTGACAAATTAACACTGAGCTATTATTAATGACGTAATGAGATCAAGTTGCATGGACGGCTTTGGCTCCTCGCGAACGTGGTCTAAAAAAGTAGTAGTAGTAGTAACATGTATCCATGTTTTTATGTGCACAAAGTGAGAAATCAAATGAACTGAATCACTGAATTTGTAATGCTGTTATGCAGATCGGAATTATGGTAATTTGGCTGCGCATTCAGCTGCATTGTTTAAAGGGTGAGTGGATTAAAAGACGCAGTGGATGGTTACTATTGCATCAGAAGGGTTGTCATGCAGTGAACTGAGGCTCGTTAAAGTAACATTGGCAACGTGTCCACAACTGATTCAAAGGGACTCACCTGTAGTGTCCCTCAGCAACAAATTGGAGCAATAAAACGTCTGGGTTTGGTTTTCCTTCATGCAGACTCGTGAAATACCTTTTTCCTAAAAGGGGCTCTTTGACACTTGCTGTTCTGGTGCATGCTGTTCTGAATACAGTACAGCATGTGACAGTAGGACATGTGTGCACTTGCGCATGCAAAATATAGCTGGAATTAAAACAAATTCTTGCATAGTACAGATATTCCCAGTACTTTCAATAAACATTAGTCTATAAATGTGAATAGGAGTCAAACGTGTGTGTGTGTGATAGTAGTACTCACCGCACTGCTGCAGGGAATATCTTTCACTTTGAGCCAAGCCAGGTCTAGCGTGCCCTCTCCCTTGTAGCACGACTGCAGCCTCTCCTTGATTTTCTCATTGATCTTCCGCAGTGAGAAGACGCACAGCGCGGAGTCCTGGGAGGCCTGGCGTGGACGCCTCTTTTGGCCTTTCGAGAAGACGGCAAACAAAACGTCATCATCCGGTGCCACGTCTAGTGAACGTGCCAGAATAGCACCAGCTTTGGACAGGTAGGCCGCTTCCAGTAGTCGGTACTCCACGTTGCCGCTAATGCATCCGATGGGCACCTCCACATAGGAGTTGAAGGCAGTATCTGCCTTGCAGAGGCGGACAATCTTGGAGGTGTACACCTGTTCCCGACCGGTGGAGGAGGATCCGGTGGTCGGCCCGCCCCCCATTTCGGGTTGCAAGGTCAGAAAGTAGACAAAGTTCCCGCTGGCAAAGCCGTAGATGTAGTATATGTCAAAGTCGGGGATGACCGTGAAGGTGTCTGAGGGGATCTTAATCATGGAGGCCACAAACTCATCATGAAAGACATAAGCGAACATGCCATCCTCCTCTGAGTTTCTGGCCAACTTGCGGCTGGAGATTGTAGGGAAGTACTCTGGTTTGCCATCCACCGCCGTGGCGATAAACAACATGTCCGGGGAGGCACTGCTATACGACACGATGACGCCAAACACAGAGCCACTCTCATTGACGCCAGAGAGGTAGTGCTCCTTCTTGTGGAACGGCTCCCCTAGTTTGAACAGGTCGTCCAGACGGAGGAGTTTGCAGATGCCCTGGTAGAGGCTGCCACATGCCAGCAGCCGGTTCTCCCGGTAGTCCATCAGAAGCATCTTGTTCACGTTGTTGGTGAGCGACAGTGGCTCACTGCAGGGTTGGACGATACGTGGTGGGTAGCACTTGCGGTTGTCTTCATCCGGGCCCGTCTCGTGGGACACCTGGACCTCCAAGCCCGGGGACAGTTTGTATATGCGATTCACGGCTCCCAAGTAGACATTGCCGTTGCGGTAGTCCACTGCCAGATGGTTGAATTTCCATTCAGGGTTCTCGGCACGAAACGATGCATACTCCTCTTCCTGGAGGGACGCTGTGATCACCTGGGAGCCGGCACTGTGAGCTTGTGGGGACTGCACCACTGTTTGTGACGTCACCGGAAGCTCCAGGCTGGACAGGAAGCAGCATAGAAAAAAGCAGGTCCGTGTCCTGGTGAAGGACGTCATGGCTGTTCAGAGGTTGGGAGTGTTGAGGAGAGGGAGGGAGGCACAGTCCAGTACTGTCGGCCAATCGGGATCAAGCCTCTCTTGGGACAGAGGACATTATGTGCCTAAAGAGGGAAGAGACAAAAGCCAGTGAGCAACAGCAACACGACGGCAACAACACAAAGACAATACTGTTGACCATCGATGGATAAACATTATGCATATAAAGACTGATCTACTTTCTGAATTGCATCTGGCCCAGATTAAAGCAGAGCATCAGCAGAGGTATCACCATAACAGGTGAAGAGGCCACACACTTGAGACTTTAGAACCCTCCACAATTAGAAAAGAAATGGGCTAGAAAAAAAAAGAAAAAAGAATGAGGTTGAGGCTCAGTTGAGGTTTAAAAGACAGTGTGCACAGAGAGCTTTAGCCAATAGGATCCCTCCATGGATCGAGGACGGGGACAGAAAAGGTGGAGTAATGCATGGTCTCAGAGGAGGTGATCAGCATGGCTCCGCACCATCTCACTGCATGGACTCCTGCCCTTCTACACTCCACCTTGGCTTTCTGCTCCAGCCGCTATGCACCTAATTGATTCTCCCCCTGGAGTAGCAATTTGCATGCTTCGGCAATTGCTTTCTGTTCTCCCGATAGGGCAGCTCACCTGCTGACACTGCTAGCAGGGAGAAAAGGACATATCTCGCTTTAACCATACCTACCAACACACACACACACACAAACTTAGGAGCAGAAGAGGAACAATTAGGGGGAAATGCATGTGTTTGCAGACTACCCTTCCCCTAAGTCCTGAGGTCATTTGCAAAGTCTCAGCATTGCACACACAGCGAGAGCCAGCCGCCATCAACAGACAGCAACAATATTTAAAACCAGGGCAATTTGGTGTATGTTTAGCATGCAAGCCCAGCACCCAGCATAAAACACCAGCACAGGTTATCAACGGATATCAAATGATCGCATTTCTTGTAAACATGTTGATCCCAGGTGAGCGCCGCCTTCTCATTGTGTCTCTCCAATTGCAACTGGTTACTATAAGTAGTGGTTTTCATCTGGGTAGTATCCAGATGTACACAGACATACAAAAGAATCAAAGTCCTGCAATATTTAACAGTAATGGTTGCGTTTTAGTTCACAGCAATTAAAGAAAAAAAACTAAAAATGTAACTTTCGGTTAAAATGACAAAAACGTCATTCCATAGGTCTTAGTGCAACATTGAAATAATATATGATATAATTATGCAATTAACGCAAAAGAAAATACAAGAATAACACCTTGTAGTTTTTACTAAACAAATGTCTATTTTTTTGTAATTTTTCAAATCTCAGTATGAACACTTGAGCCAATAAATTGGGGAGCAACCCGGCATTATCCAGGCTCACATCTCATCGCGGGTTCATATCCAAGCAATCACAAGTTGGGGTGGTGTCAAACGCAACCTCACTGCAATCTTACCAATCTCCCCGCCATCTCCTGGCCGGCAGATAGAGAGAAAGAACAGAGCAGACAGCCTCTCCACACATGATAAGAGGACCAGAGAGGATGATGAGAGGGATGAAAACTGATACCGAGATAGAAAAAGAGGATGTATGTCCAGGTGTGTGCGCGCGTGTGTGTGTTTACGAGGGGAGTGAGAGTCAAAGAGAAGTATGACACAGGCAAGAAGGTGACAAAACAGAAACACCAATATCCTAAAATAAACCTGCAGTAAATACGAATTGATTCATTTGTTACAGTAAGTAACTAACCCCCGAAAAACCTTTTGCAAAAGTTAAGTGCTGAACTTCAATTTTGGGAGTCTGGTTATTGTTTCCAGCCACCAAAAAGAGGGCGTGTCAGAGATGGTTTAGAGTAAGATCTAAGAGAGGCTACTGCTCCTACTTGAGGAGTAATGGCAGGCCAGCGAGACCATGATGTTAAAAAAAAAGGAAGGGGAGCTGCATATTAATCTCACAAAAGGGAGCAGCACTGGAGCTCCCACCTCCCATTTACCTAGCATGAGGGACGGCCATAACAAAGTGCTCTTCTGAAATACCCAGACTGCTTCATCCAGCGTCATTATTAATAGAAAAGGAGACCGAGAGGAATGAAGGAAGGCGACTGAGCGGGAAAAGAAGGGCATGAGGCAGAGCGAGAAACGGAGGGGGAGGCGGTTCTGCCACCTTCGCATCCACCTTTCCTTATGGAGTTTAAACATTAATGCACTCAAACACAGACATTTAAAACAAAAAGAATGTAAAAAAAGAAAGGCTGCCAGTGGTCTCCCTTGAGAATAGTTGAATTGCTGGCTTAAAACACTAAAACCTCTGAAAATGGAAAAACAAATGTATTACTCTGATAAGCGGTACCCTGCAGTAGTAGTAGTGTGTGACACATGAATCTGTTCGTGAAACGTAATTATCCTTTCTGGCGGGGGGGGGGCATGCACATTTCGGTTGCCTTCTGATCATCAAGCGCCATTAATTAAGGCATGCTTTGGTTCCGAGGGTTTACACATCAGACACGTTAGCGCGCACGGACACACACACACACACACACACACACGTGCACGCAGGGACTGATTATTCTAACACGGTTTCTTCATCCAGTGGCGTGCTCTTTAAGTACATGCCTTTTGCGTCTCCAGCCCTTGCATAGGAGAAGCATATTAACATAAGGAGCGATACTGGTGGTGGTGATGCTTTCGAAGAAGTGCAAATTACACCATTACAGGAAAAAAATTAAGCATCTAATTAGATAGTTAGCTGCGCAAATGTGTAACATCCTCAGATCAGCCACAGAAAAGAAGCTGCATGGTCTGAAGCTGCAAGTCAAAGTATATGACTGCTAGCTGCAAGATTTACTCAAATATCGACACACACATACACACTATATCACAAGTATACAGCTGTAGACATCAGACAGTGCCAAATAATAATGGTTAGCACCGTGCTCTTTTCTCAAAAGCCAGCAGGAATCACATGACAACTGTAAATCTGCAGCCCGAGAGGGAGACATAAACAGCATTTACATTTATAAAACGTGTGATTTCACCAATTAAGGGTATTTTTTTCCTGGGGAGAGGGAAAGAGGAGAGGAAGGAGGAGAAGTCAGGTGCAGTGGCATCGTCATGGCTACACACCAGAAATGTGTTGGCAGATGGATAAAGTGAGTCTCCCCCGCCCCGATCCAGATGACAGTTTCTCTGTTTCATCTCTAGCACAAACATTTCGCCTGCCTGTCAAAGAATATTGCTCAAAATCTCAAGAAAGGACGCAAACCCCAAGCTAGGTTCAAAGATCAACTGCTACAAATTGCGAGCTTCAGATAAAGTATTTTGATGCTGCGGGGCTAATTTCAGGGACAACAGTATCAGGCGAAGCTATTACGGATATGTCATGAGCCATTTCGCTTTGGCAATGACTGTGGAATAGAGAGCTGGGGCCAGATGTGACAATTGGAGGGAAGACGACAACAAAAAGCAAGCCTCGACAAAATAATCCCCTGCTATTTATAGTCTGACGGAGGGGAGGCATTTATGTTGAAGAAATGGCTTGGAAGTGAAAAAAAACTGTCAAAATCTTTGGTAAACAGCTTAACTTCTCATTGTGGTAAAGTGTAAAAATATAGCTAGCACATGCATTTAAAAACACTGAGGCAAATGGGATTAGGAGATTGCGAGTGAGTAAGAAGTAATTACACATAATCCTTTATATTCCTAAAGAAAAAACAAGACTGCACAGTGTACACTTATCTAAGGTAATCTGTCATCATGGGGGGGGGGGGGGTTTGAGAGAGAATGGACAGAATGCAGAGAAGCGGGACGTTTAAGAGGAACGGACCATGCACTGATGCAGGTTTTCAGAGGGGTAATGGAGATGTTCCGAGCAGGGATGGCTCCAGCTACACTCACAGCTTGGTCCATTTGCTTTGAAGGAAGATAATGATGACCGGATGCATAGACGGATGGAAGCTGAAAGTTTTGGATGTAACGATTGTAGTGAGTGAGAGAGTGAGAGAAAGATGACTGGAAAGAGAACAAGCAGAGAGAGATGTGTGTCCCAGATCAGTGAATGTACCCCCCCCCCACCCCTCTCCACACACACACACACACACACACAATCTCCTGAACAACCGCCTCCCCTGGTGAGCTCTGGCACTGATCAGAGGAATCGGCGTCGCTCTGCATCGCGGCCACACACTGGGACCGGAGGAAAACAGTGTCTTTGCCCTCACAGTGCATAATCACAAACGCACACATACAAAGGCTCGCCAACACCCAGACCGCAACACAGCAAGACACACACACACACACACACACCTGACACTACTGCATTAAATACACAGACACAGCAAGCATACAAGGCGGGACTTTTCCTGGCGCGACACACGCACAAACTGGCATTTTGCCTTTCCTGCTTAACTCCCCGAAAACTACAACACTGGCAATACCAAATGACGGCGAGGCGTCTTCCGCGCTCGCTGATGTCGGGGTAAAAAAAAAAAAAGCAAAGGCCTCTGCTATTCAGGCATGCAGCTCATGAGCCGCCGCAGCAAAGAGAGAAGCCAAACAACAACACATACAGGCGGCCTGTCCGCAGGAATACGACAATTAGCGGGACAGGAGGAACACGGACTCATTACTACTGCATGAAAACGCACACCATTTCCCTCACAAAACGGACTAAACTGTAGCCGCTAATTAGCATAAGTCTCCACGTGAACGCGGACAAAAAAAATGGCACTAATCCAATGCTCTCACGGGGCTCTGATAACGCACGCAAATATAAAAACGCGGTCGAATAACAGGGACAAACATGCATTTAAAGTAAATATGAACATGCATCTAGGTGAGCACGCTTTGTGGTTAAAATGGGAATGTGCTTAATCTTGCAATTCTACTGCTGGGGATTAAAGTAGCTGGGAGGTATTAACAATTGTTTTCATTCCTACACAATAATTAAAACTACTTTTGAGGGGGCAGCTAAACCCCTTTGGAGGCGGCTGACAAGGACAAGCAAATCAACACGACCCACTTCCATTATTATTATTATTATTATGATTGTTAAGCACAGCAAGAGAAAAATGAAGAAGGATAATGAGCAATAACATTGCAGCCACATCGAC